TTTAAACTTCATCAGTAAAGAAAGCAGTCGCGCTGATTTACGGCTTGGCAATGCTGCCCTTCAGTGGCAGCTGACTAGAATAACTTCTTTTATCCATTGAAGCGCGTGTTGTGAAGAAATAAAACCAGATAAGGGGTTTTAGAGCAGAAAAAAATCATAATGTGAAAATATTTCACAGGCATGAAATACCCTTTCCGGATCTGAGGTAGTCATTCCTCTCCATTCCTCTCTGCAATAGCAAAAAACCCAGCAATTAGCTCAGTGTCTGTCGGGTTAAGCTCTTATCATGAAAGAGCACACCTCTGTGTAGGTCAAGTGCACGCAAATGTCAAGTTTTGTCCCGCTGAAATGAAGAGGGATGTTTTGTGGCACACATCCGAAAACTAATCTAAGGTGGTGATCCATCAACACCCTGAGTTTCAGCTGTGATTAGGGCCTTGGTTTCATCATCTTGAAACTAAAGGACGAGTTTTCCTCAAGTTCTTTGCTAGAAGAGATCAAAAAGAGTGAAAAAGAGCCACTCCACAGCGTCAGATTTAATCTGGTTAAAGGGTTGTCCTCAGCGTGCTGAGATAAATGTCAAGCTGCCCAGCTGAGCGACACATGTTTAGTCTCATGTTACGTTCAAAGAGATACTGGCCTCACTGTGACACTGATTCATCCTTGCAGACTAAAATGTGGTCATGTAAGTTAAATTTGCAATCTGTAATCTGTTTACAATCAACATTTACAATCCTTTTTCAGCTTTTGTCCCTCAAATGATATTTACCAGGGTCTTGAATCTGTTCGTCGCACAGAAACGTCGCTCCATGAGCTGCCACCCACATAACAAACCAAAGGGCTAAACAAAAGTCCATCGGTGAAAAATAGCATGCCCCAAACCGTAAAACACATAAAACACATGTGTAAACAATATGCATTACAGCAGTGACCACCCTCTCCATTCACGCTCACGTCAAAGAAAATGAATCGCTGAAACTGTCACGAAATGTATTTTCCTACCTCAAGGTGCTGTACGATCACCACATCGTGTGCAACAAACATATACTGCTTTGCATGAAATGGAGTCACTCTAATATGTTTAGTCTGTTTACAGCACACTGTGGTGTTATTTACAGTCTGCACCGTAACATTCATCCATTGCAAAGTTACAATGATTTTTATTATCTCCAGCAAAGATCTCAATGGGGTTATGCTGTGATGGCAATACCACATCCAGACCATCTTTTCACTATTTTGGTCTGACTCCCGGCACTGCTATCCAAACCATCTCACATGTTGTTTAAAGCTTTGCTTCTCAAAGCCAGCTTCTACGTTAAGAGATCTGGGGATGAAACACAGCAGGAGCTTTCAAACTTTTCAGATCTTTGACCCATAAAACAACCCAACTATTGCTGGTTCAAGTATACAAACATTACTAAAAATGTTTTACAAAGATTCTTGCCAACCATTACATTATGTTTATCCATTTAAAGCTACTGTAATACACCACCCCACTTGTTTTTTTTAAACCCAGTGGGGTTCTTATGGCTTATGACAATCAATTATGATTTCCATTGGCATATTAGAAATAAAAGGTGCTTAACAACAATTTATCAATTGCTGAGGCCTCTCGAATGGCTTGGTGGCAACATTTGCATACTTTACCAATGACTGCATACATAAGATGGACGAACCATAGACATAGACATGTATACGCAGACACCCCATTGGACGGTGGAGAGCATGACAGCGTCGCCACTATGGTGGGTGGGTCTGCTCACGCTCCAAATCCAACTGGAATCAGTGCAGAATGAGGAACTATGCCCTACGGTTGCTACAACTGCTGCACTATTGAAAACAGATCACATGGGATTACGATTGACTTTTCTAGCCTACCTGTTCAGATTTTATATATAATTTTTTATTATATTTATATATCAATTATGTCATACTATATGTCTTTGTGATAAAGCATAATAAAATGTTTTTTTGTTGTTGTTGGGTAAACACCTTCAGTACGAATAAATGCACTGGGGGCAAATGTGGACCCATCCAAGATGGCGGCCCACTGCTACGCCAGTTCCATAGAGCTTCTACGTATATGTCTCTGTATCGGACCCTCTGCACTGTCATAAAGCAGCTATTTTGGCTAGCCACAATTAAAGCCAACCAGGAAGTGACAAAATTTTCTGTTTCCCCCTCATTCCCTAGGGGCTAGCACCAGAAATGAGCAAATTGCTATTGACTCCCATGTTAAAAATGCCAACTTCACCTCAGAAGTGAACATGTTTACAGCCTGTTTCATAAAACAATTTTAGGTGTAATAGTTTAGTCATGGCAACTCTCAGGCGAGTACGTTCATTTAGGTGTAGTTAAATGCTTGAAGTTATAAATAGATATGGTTGACAGGTAGCATGAGCCATCAGAGGTAGCACTAGCGGTTAGCTCTGTGGAAGGCCTCAGCCTCTGTCTCATGTCAATAATCAGTTTCAAATCTCTGAACTTTAGTAGTGTCCTGTGTATTTGTGTTTGGATGTTTATCATCCCAGCTGTGATATTGATTGCACAAACAGACTATCCAAGAAGTCTGCTTCGTTTTTATCGGTAAGTAGAGTTATATTTCTGTACTTTATTTTGCTGACTAAGCGGGGTAAAATGCTGTGCATTTACCATAATGCTGTGTGGTCAAAATTATCTAAAATATGACGTGTTGGTAGGGCTGAGTACCAAGACTCGCAGCCAGAGCCGCAGCCCCGCTGGTCTCCAACCGCTGAGGAACAGTGGAGTGTGGGCTCACGTGGCACAGGAGCCCAGCTCTGATTGCTGTGGTCTGAGGCTGTGCTTGTATCATGTGTAGCTCTATGAGAGAGACCACAGAAGGTCCACAGCTCAGTGAGTTGATGGGTGCTTCACTTTAGAGCTGCTCAACCACATTTTTCTCGCACCTGCACCTCTGTTAGCTTTGGATAGCTTGGTCCTGGAAGAAGTGGTGGAGTCACAACCTCATTGTTCCACTCTTAGCCCCACCTCTTTGCCAATTTCTGGATTGTCTGGGTGTGATGAGGCATGTAACACAGTTTTGCAGAAAGCTACGGGTGACCTTACGGAAGGTTTGCCCATAATTGTAACGGTCAATGGCTGTCGCCCACAGGTTTCTGAAGAACTGAACTGAAGCCCAATGGCGGTTCCAACAACCACCCACTTGGCTGCCTCGTGCATCTTGTCATAAATGGAGCTGAGAGCAGGGCTGTGAGTGTGGGGGCAGATGATTGACACCATTCAAACTCTGAGCCAATGTAGCTAGGAGCTAACTATGCTAACTGAAGCTAACGGAGGTTAGCGGGTGCTTTTAGCCAGAAAAGCAGTTGAGCTATTCTGCTGCCCTCTGCCTTCATCTGCTACCAGTCAGTCAAGTAGACACACCTCTAAGTAGTCATGATTTCAAGCTTTAATTAAATTTAAACGAATGAGTTACAGAAAAATAATCTTTAACCCCCTCAAAGGTGTCATGACTGTAAACTAGACCTATGAAGCCCAAAATGTTTTTGAATGAGGCTGTAAACATTTTCATTTCTGCTGTGAGGTTGGCATCTTTAACATGTGAGTCAATATGAACTTGTTTCTTTCTGGAAATAGTCCCTAGCAGATGAGGGGGCACTGCATGTTCTGTAACTTCCACCTTGGCTTCACTTTTGGCAGGTGGAGTTTGCCTCTTGACTTTAACCAACAATGGTCAGGCTCACAAGACTGTTCAACTCTTACTTTGAGGGTCAAAAGCTGCGAACCAGAGCTTAAAATAACAAGAACCTGCTTTGTGTATGAGATGGATATTTCAGAACAAGTCTTGTTTCTTCCAATTATAAGGTTGTGAACAATTCATTTTGTATCTGGTGTGGACAGCGCTTAGCCTTCGTTTGGAGAAATATAGATCAGAGGACAGGCAGATGGCCATTACACTGAATTGTATAACTATTCACATCACAGCAGAAATTATGGGAAGAGGTGCAACAGCTCCAGGCAGTGTTTCACATTTGAAACTAATAGTGTTAAACAGGGATGGGCATTGCACCCGTGGGGCACGTGGGTGTTTTAATAACCCACTCATTTTCTAACGAGGAGGTTAAACACCAACGCTCTCCCACAGTTAAGCTAAAAAACGTTACTATCAAACAACACCAACTTTACTACAGCAGCATGAATGAGAAAAAAATCTGAATTAAAAATTCAATTCAAATGAATTCAAATAATTTCAGAGTAATGCACACTTGTAATCTAAACAGGCTGTAAATATTGTGTGTGTGTGTGTGTGTGTGTGTGTGTGTGTGTGTGTGTGTGTGTGTGTGTGTGTGTGTGTGTGTGTGTGTGTGTGTGTGTGTGTGTGTGTATGTGTGTGTGTGTGTGTGTGTGTGTGTGTGTGTGTGTGTGTGTGTGTGTGTGTGTGTGTGTGTGTGTGTGTGTGTGTGTGTGTGTGTGTGTGTGTGTGTGTGTGTGTGTGTGTGTGTGTGTTTCAGAAATCTCAACATCCGGTTGGAATTATAAAGCATCCAATAAACAACAATAAAGTCGTGACATTAAAGCAGCAGCTTTTAAGCTCCACCGGAGAGTAAATCTGTAAGGCTTGTCAACAGCATTCAGACATCAATTCTGTTTGCTTCACAGACAGACAGGACACGGAAAAAATAAATAAAATAAAGAAATCTCAACATCCCCCACACTTTAAAAAGCTTGCAAACCGGGTCAAAGAACCTTCACATCTTAACGTTAACACCTTAACGCTACATTTGTTTTAGGATCTAATTCGTCTGTAGTCAGGATTGCATTATTTCATAACTGAGATTGTTCAAAGAACAATCAACAACCTGTACGATACTAAATGTTCAGGAACTTTCCACAGAACCTAAATCCAGGATATTCTCCCAGCATCCCGATTGATGTGCTGCAGTAGCTCCGTCTGTCCGTTAGGTGTCGCGCAACCTCTCCTTCTTTTGAATCCAGCGCCCAACCTCTGGTCCGGACCGGTCTGTGGGCCAGTGACCGTCACGGACCAATCAGAGACCAGGTGGGCGTGTCGTGACTGTTACTACAGATGCTGAGAGAAGCTTGCTGCCGACCTGCTGCTGCTACACCTATGAGTCTCCACGTTAATGAGCAGCCTGGGCTCGCGCGCCACTGACGAGCTGGTTATGCCGAGATAAGGAGCCAGCTCACGCGCTCCGTCCAATAATGGCATGCGACGGTTCCCCCGCGGAGGACTTCTCGGATAAGCTGATGCCCAGAGCGGCTCCCTGCATGTGCAACAAGAAGTGCCGGGGCAGGAGCACCAGCCTGGTCTTCCTGGGATTATTCCTGCTGTCGCTGACCCTGCACGCGGTCACGCTGGTCTGCTACCTGGACTTACGCTCCGAAGTCAAAAGGGAAATTATCCACCAGAAGCGGGACTCTATGGGGACACTGAGCGGGAGGGACCTGCTGGCTGACCCGGCTGCGGTGCTCTCACCCCCGGGTCACCCGCGAGTGGACTCCGGCAGAAGCCGCGGCGGAGAGGGGCACGAGGTAAAACCGAAAACAACACAAACTGGTTTTTTACACTTTAAGAAGAAACTGGAGCTTTTGGGCGCTTCACACACCTCAGCTGTTCCGGTGTCAGGTTGTGTGTCCGCGCGCTGTCGTGGCATGTTTCTGAGCAAACTAATCCTGTCACGTATTACACAGGTTTTCATAGATGTATTGGAGTGTCTAAACGTGTGAAATGGTTAAAGAAATCATGTCCGCTTTTTGATCTGTCCCCAAGTCCACCTGCTCAGGTCTACCCGGCACTTTAGAATGACCTGTCCATCAGTAGACCCGCTGGACCTGGGTGATCTGGGTTTCTGAGCTCCTCCTGATCAGTAAAGGGGTGCAGTGAATGATGAAGACGGGTCAGCAGGAACAGGTGGACGGCAAATGAACTTGATCACCAGCAGGTGCAGAGCCCAAGGGTTGATGGAAATTCATCAGGACTTAGATGGGGCACTTGGTATTTTGGGTGAGAGCCAGTCTCGTCTCATGTGTTTTCCTCTCTGGCAGCAGGCTGATTGAACTCTCATTGTGTTGTCTGGCTGCCCCTACACCACCACACACTCCCTCATTTGATCAGCGCAACACTGCAGTGCTCTCTGGGTCGTTTTTTGTGTGTGTGGCTCATTTGTCATCAGTTGTGTAATGCCCCTGTTTTATCATTTCTCTTTCACAGAGAAAATGATCCTCCTGGTGTAGGGGCCGCTGGGCTGGACGTTGATAGTCACTCAGAGGAATTCCAGTTCTTCCACTACAGACACGTTCATTTCTCAGTAGGAAACATTAATGGGATCCATTGCTCATATTGGGACTTTTCTCTCACGAGCTTGGCCTGTTTTATAGCTGTCTGCGTGTTCTGAGTTATTATAGATAGTAGTGGTTCCCCTCCTTGTAGATGGGCCCAGATGGTGGCGCTTCATGGGGCGAAAGACTGTGGCCCAGCTGTAAGTATTTAACAGTGCTGTGATGCTGTCCTTACCAGATGTCGGCATTAAACAACTCTGATTGCACATCCCACAGTTTACATAGTTAGAGAAACAGGAGCATGTGGCATTTGGAGGCAGCAGCTGCACTTGTTAGCTTTTTTTTAAGGTATTTCCTTTGAAGAAATTGTTTTTTGTAGAGCTGAAAATTTGTTTGTTGGATTTTTTTTCCCCCCAAACAAAGCGTCCCTCAGCAGGAAGGGTGAAATCTGATGTGATGCGCAGGTATACACAGACAAGTGTGAGTGTTGCAGGCCATGAAGGAGGAAACTCCTCCGCTACAACGCATACTTCTGGTCTGACAGACAAGACACCTGTGGGATTTGTCATAATTTAGTTACCGTTCATCATCTGTGTGTGGGTCGCTAGGCGGAGTAAACTGGATGCATTTGACCCATTTTATTGAATAATTGTCATCAAACATATTTTTGAATAATAACAGATTTAAAGATAGGGATGCACCGATACGATACTGGTATCGGTATCGGTGCCGATACAGATACTGATACCAATATCGGTATCAGTAAAAGTTAACAGATACCAGTAACTGATACCAATGCAGTTGCTTAAAAGTGACTTCACTGTAACTTGTCATTTCTGTTCACCTAATATTTTAGTTTTGTGATCACTTATATTACTTTTTATCTACCTCACAGTCTTTTCCTATTGAAAACAGAGGAAAATAAAACCTGTATTCCAATTCATTGCATTTTTTTGTGTGGTAGAAGTATCTGTATCGATAATCGGTATCGGCGAGTACTCAGATCCAAGTATGGGTATCGTATCGGTTTGGAAAAAAGTGGTATCGTTGCATCCCTATTTAAAGACAGGCATATAAGTGGACAGCAAAGTAGGTGCAGTCTTATAACTAAGCAGCAGGTTTCTTAACAACACAAAGCCGTTGTCTTTAGGAGAAACGATCTAAAGCCGGTGTCCCACTGGGCAGAAACTTTTGGTGGCTAAAGGCAATCACGCGGTTTCCTAAATGTCTACAAATGCTTTTGAGTTCACGATTTCCTTTCACGAGTCGTAGAGCTGTGCTTGAAATGTGAACATGTTAAAAAAAAAATCACAAGTCAAATGCTCTCCAAATAGTCGCGCGGTTATCAGGTGAGTCGTGAAATCGAATCATTTGGACAACCGTTGCCTCTTAAACACTATGCCGCATGCATGGTGACCCGGCTGTCTGCAAACTGGCGTGTTCTTGCAGTTTTGTATCCACGTAAAGAACCGCAACCTAGTGAAATATTCATGCAGGCACGATGATGCGCTATTACTCCTACCACAAGCATTGGGCCAACATTCTTTTTTAAAATATCGAACATTTTAATGTGTAAAAATATCAAAATATGACATGGAAATGGTTGTATTTGAGTAGCACCTTCTTAGGGCTCTACAACCCCCCATTCACACGCTGGTGGGGATGAGCTACGATGTAGCCACAGCTGCCCTGGGTGCCTGCTTAAAACTGGCGCCACCGGTCCCTCCGACCACCACCAGCAGGCAAGGTGGGTTAAGTGTCTTGCCTAAAGGCACAAAAGCAGCATCAGAGCTGGGTTTGAACCTGCAACCTTCCAATTACTGGCCAGCCTGCGCTCCCTCCTGAGCTACTGCTGTCCCTTATGTACGATATGAACGGGCAAAACCTGATCAGCCAGCTTTTTACTGAAACATTTAAAGGGATACTTTGCAACTTTTTCATATTTTCTAGTGATGCACCGATGTGAAGTTTTTGGGCCGATTTGATGTCTGATATTAAAGTCACCGTTATGGCCGATAACCGATTTTTGCCGATACCGGTCTACTGACATTAATGATTCTATAATCAGCTGATTTTGCATAGAATAAAACGATTAAAGCTGAATTTACATTATTATGTACACACACTTAGGCTTCTGAGATGATTACAATCACTGTTCACATGACTAAACAATTACGCATCACACCCTCACCCTCTGAAACAGATAAACCAATGGAGATGAGATGGAAAAAATATCGGTTGTTAATACCGATATGTTAAATGACTAACATCGGCCGATACCGATATCGATGCCGATATATTGTCCATCCCTAATATTTTTAAATTATTTTCTTGCGCCAGTATGTGCTAATATTGCCCTACAGGGTTAATGAAAGGCCACCCAGCCCTTATCGCCCTCTGTGCCCAGAGTATCACTCTTGCAACTTCACAGTTGCTGGTCCGGTCTGTTGGGACTTTGAGCTGACCTACCTGGCTCTGCTGTCTGCTTCCAGCACATTTCCTGCATGTTTTAGGTCATGAACACAGCTGATTTGTTCAATTCAGTGATGAATCACTCCTCTAGACACCCAACAGCGCTGGGAGACGTTTCAGCTGTTAGATTAAGGTGTTAATAAGACAAACTCAAAGCGAGGAGATAGGTTTTGGTTTTGATTCTACAAACAGACACTAGGGGGTGCTAAAAGCAAGCAACGTTGCCTAGAATCCTTTTAAAGAAAGGTAAATCTGTGTTCCTGCTTTCATTATAAGTTTGTAGTCATCCCGTATGTTTTACATGTTCTTATTTATAGGTCGGACCACCTGTTACCTTTTCCTAACACACTGGCTCTTAAAGCCTGGGCTGATATCTTCGACTCGAGTCTTAAACAATGAAATAACTGAGTGTATTGTTAAAAATAATACACCGTGCTCAACAGCCATGGAGCTGATTTTATATGATGGTCTTTGAGATATTTGTATGAGGTCATATAAAAAGAAACAGTTATGTAAAACAAGCAAAGCCAACATTCTATCTCTGGAATGCTGTAAAACATCTCAGGTCCTTCTAGTTGCTCCTTAATCAGAACCGAGGATTCGATCCTTTAATGATCTGGGCCAAGGGAGTGGAAAAACAGTCCTCACTGTTACAGCTCTGTTTGTATGCCCTTGAGCAGGGCAGTAAATGCCAGCTGTCCTGCAGATTTTATCGGTTCCCACCTGCACAGTAAGAAGAGTCCAGGTGTGAAGGCGGCGTGACGTGAGGTGGTGAGGCCTGGATTCACCTGAGATCCGTCAGCGAGTGGAGGTTATCCGTTTCAGCTCAGATCGAGCTTTCTTCGTTGGCCTAACATTTCCATCATATTAAATAATTCTCTCCTCTGATGTGTGCCTTCAAAGTCTCACACAGAACACATGCTGGAACATCTGGAGTCTAGTTAACAGCTATTAAAAAAGAAAGTCAGTTTGATGGGACTCAAAAATTCTCACCAGTGTAGGATCTCTGAGGCGTCGGGGTGGGCTGCTGCACACAGACGGGACTGGTTGATCATAGACGTACACGCACGCATGAGCATCAGTTCTAGTGTGTACGTGTTGTAAACAACTTACATACATGTTCAGATAAACCTGAATCCTGCAGATGACGCCTTGTGCAGATTGAGCGCAGAGTCACAGACATCTACCAGAATAATAAATTCTGGAGGCGTTGAGCGAGAAATCGCTCTGCCAGCAAAGTGTTGCAACAATCTGAAGCGGGATTGGCTGCTGACAGGCTACATCTCCCTTAGCGCCACGGCCTTTTCAGCCGAGCAATCTATGCGTACCATTATTAAATTACCCAAGTTATGGTTTAAAACACGTCTGTCCACAGAGAACGGTGTCAGGTGTTGGCTGGAGGGAAGGACGCTGCTATTGTGTGAGTTTAAAAAGAAAACATGTCGTCATCGTTGAATCCAGGAGTGTGAATCACAGCGGCGCTCTCGGGAGTACGCATGCCGCTGCAGTGACGGGCACCCGACCCCAAACCACCGCCACCAGCCCTCCGTTTCACCTCCTCAACTCCCTAACCCCACATTCTTTAGCAGCTATTAGGTTTCTAATTTTTCTGCAAGACTTGGAAGATAAATGAACAAGAAAAACAAAAAATAAACATCTGCAACTCCCATCCCTAGTTATCATCTTAAAACTTTTTAAACGGTGAGGAATTGTGTTTTGGTTTGGGAGAGAATACGAGCCGTTTGGACGGCGTTAATAAGGCAGAAGGAAATCTTGTGATAGTCAAATTGCACGCCCTGGGGTGAGTGAATTTTAGTCATATCCTCACGAAGCAACAGGGAATCGCATCCACAGCAACGCCTCCCACCTTCGTGCACACACACACACACACACACACACACACACACACACACACACACACACACACTTTGAAGAGTTGAAAGCCCTCTAATTAATAGCATTTTCCCTTTGTGCTGAAAAAGAATGGTTTACTCAATAGTTGGCACTTGGCATACATACCAACACGTTGTCATCCTGATTTACTGTAACTCGGCGGGCCTTTGAAGAGCACGAAGGCTGTAAATGCTCTAATGACGTGAAATGAAGCAAGACGGAGTGTGAAAGCATGTCTCATAGTATTTTTTTTGGGGGGAGGGGTGTATGATTAAGAAAACTATTATTTTCTAACACTTGTGCTATCAGCCGTTGGTAGTAGCCCGGCTGGCTGCTTGTTTGTCTTCTGTGGTTCTGCTGAGGCTAAAATCTCGGGCCAGACATTGGCTGTTGAATCGTGTTTGGCTGTCAGAACAGACCGAAGTGTAAAGCCATATGGCAGAACATACACCAAGAATTCTTTGGGAGGTTAAAAAAAAAAAAAAAACCTCTCCTCCTTATATGCCAACAGCTGGAGAGGAGATGTGGAGGCACCTGCAGACCAAATGAACAGCAAGCATCGCTGCTCGCAGGAACATCTGGAGGGCCCTCTCAGCGTTCCAACTCATATTTATCCTTCGGGCTGGATTTCCCGTGCTCGTAAGGTCAGACGTGGCTGGCAGCTGGTCAGAGATGTAGATGTTAACTGCCCAGTGGAGCCGTCATGATTCAGCTCATCTCTCTCGCTCCAGGGGAGGGGGGGTGGGGGGGGTGGGGGGTCCCACATCTGAGATGAGGTATAGTAAAAACTGGAAACATAACTTATCGTGTCTGTCTTCACATGGTCTGTCAGTGGCTTTGCTTTTAAAACCACACAAAGAGGCACGGGGAGTTCACGCTGCTTTCAGGAGGATGGGGGCGGCTTGTCATTGGGCTTTCATAGCTGTGTTTACTTGAGGCGAACAGATGGAAACGTGGGAGTTTGTGATCTCGCGCCCAACTGGAAAGCGCTCCAAAGGCAGAAAACGAAAGGTCAAAATGTGTTTTTACTGTTTTGAGCTGTGCTAAGTGCTGCACTTGTTGAAGTCCTTGGCCATCCAATCATCCGCTAAAGACCCAGCGTGGTACGGGCCCTGTGAGGAGGCTTTGGGGCCTCCTCGCACCGGTTTGGGGCTGGGTGGTCTCGCTGTTTCCTGTGCCAGGTCTCTTTTCGTCCCATCAGCTTCTGGGAACCGTCCAAATACGTGATCACAAAAACAGGCTGCTCGAACAAAGATACTCGAACCAATATGTGTGGGGTTTTGCTGAAAATGTCGAGCCGTCACAGCCGTCACATCTCGTCTGAGTTAAAGTCGGGTCAGGACGTCCAGGATTCATGTGGATGTGGGTCACATAAGAACAGGCGCAGGCGGAAACACCCAACAGCTGTAGCACACAGCATTAACTCAGCTAGGATCAGATCCTTGCTGTTTGACGTTTTTATTTCTTTTTGAGTTTATTCATGCCACCTCTGAATAGGGCTGGGACCAGGTGCCACATGAATGGGTACTGCTCTCGGATTAACTGCAGTTCATGTCCTCCTTTTGTAAGAAAAGGTGAATTTTAGAGCAGCCGTGGCCAGGTGACGGTCTCAAATACAGACAAACACAACTTGGGTTACGGGATAGATTACCGCCCCAGTGGGACACACAATGACTTGGCTACGAGTGAATGTCCTTTTCAAATGCCCCAAGTGGTTTCCCTGCAAACAATACACACCAAGAATAGAGCGACTGCTTGTAAAGTGCGTTTCTGTTTAAAAAAATCTCAGGTTCACAGAGTCCGTCTCAGGCGTTATCCGTGGAATTAATATTCGCAGCAGCTCAATTGCTCGGAGCTCGTGTCACGTTCATGTTCTGCGTCATTTTCCACATTCAAGCGTTTTCCTTTTGTGTTCCCTTCAGGAGAGGCTACTGTACAGAAACGGCGACTTCCACGGCACGCAGGACAAGAGGGGCCGACCGCAGAGGGCGAAAAGGAGCCCCGGCAGGGAGCCAGAAACAGGTGCGAGTTGTTATCTTCTCCTTTTATCCTCCTCTTCCTTACTGAGAAGCAGTAAGCTGATGCAAGGTTTGTGCAACGGTAATTTCTACACTCTGAATCAGGATCATCATCAATCATCTAATGTGAAGAGTCTGTTTGCTGTTTCTAGGCAAGGGAGGTTTGCTTACAGAGTAAATAAAACATTTATGACGAGATGCTTAAAGCTTTTTATGTTAACGGTTTCTCACTGTGGTGACTTTTTGGCCAGCTTTGTAAAGCGAGGGATTAAGTGAAAATGGGATTGATTATCACTTGGATAGCAAAGCAAGGACAACATGGGGTTTGGGAGGGTTGCACCAATTAGAAACAGACAGCAAAGCCCTTCTAGTTTCTCTTTTGGTCTCAAAATAACACCGGCTTCCGTGAATGTCTCCTGAGCCGCTCAGCGGACAGGCGTGAACTCCGACCGCGCTACCCAATGAATCGCATTCATCAAAATACAAAGAAAAGAGCAAATTCTTTTTAGGATTTGGGAGTCGCTTTTAAGAAACTTAAGTTCTCGTCTCGGCAACGTCGATGGCTTTCATTACCACGCCCCACCACCACCACCTAAAAAATGGATTTATGTTAACGAATAGCTGTGCAGAAAACCATATGGCCAATATGTCTGAATTAGCTCTTGTAGTTTTTGTTTAGAATCTGAGCCGCGCAAATAAAAAAAAACGAAGCTCTTTGAAGTTTCGTGTCGAGTGCAACAAGTGCACCATGATCACAAAGCATTCCAACGTCTGTGGCGTGACACTGAATACTTGGGGTGGGGTGTGTGTGTGTTAGTGGAGGGGGGGGGGGGGGGGTAGTGATTGTGTTTAAATTAGAAGAAAAAACTCACCTTTGAGACTTTCTACATAAATCAGTAAAGTCCCGAGCCTCTAAACACTAATCACTCCCAGGTCTTGCCTTTGCTCTAGCACACAGACAAAGGCTTTTGTAATCCCAGCCGTGTGTGTGTGTGTGTGTGCGCGCGTAAGTGTTTTTGCGCTGCTAACGGGCACCAGATTCCAGATAGGGCTGCTCGTTAAAAGGAATCTATGCGGATGCATCCAGTCATTTAGCCAGAGGAGAAACCCTGGCCATATGTTGGAGGGGAACTCAAACTGTGAGGTTTTAAGGTTAAATGGCCTTTGTAGTTCTAATGACATGGTAAACACAAGTGAGACGGCATTTTGAAAGGAGTCATCAGCTGCAAGTATACGTACACACACAAAGTGCATTTCAAACAGTGACGCTGATGCCCAGCAACATACACCCACACACACACACACACAGAAAGACGGGGGGGGAAGAATGCATGCTTAAACAAACACACACTTTCATCTTCATTCTCCATCTGGGCCTAATTCAAAGAAAAGGATTTTGGCAGGATAAAGTATCTCTCTAATGATCTTCTCCAGTTCCACTGCCTGTGAATGCTTAAGGCACTTGTTCATACGGAGGAGGTGAAACCACACTTACAAATTACTACAACATACCGCAGACTGACATACCTCCACTCCAGCGCTCAGAGCACCACATCTGAGCTCGGTGGTGTAGCCGGTTGAAGACGGCCACGCAGAAGAAGCGGGACACTCGAGACGTTATCTGAGATGATAATTGTCCAGGAGACCGTTGCAGGCTCTTAAATCACGCTGGTGTTTGTTCCTTTCAGAATCGAACGGGAAGGAGAGAAGGAAAGATAAGAAAAAAGGTATACATTCATTTATTATCATCGGAAACATCCTCGAGATAAAGTCCAAGTCTATTAATCACAGTAGATCCTGTCCTTCACGGAAGACATCAGTCTCTTATGTTGTTTCTGACATTCTTTTTTCAGGAAAGAAAAGGCCTGTACCTGGGCCTCCCGGTCCTCCAGGTCCTCCCGGCCCTCAGGGGCCACCGGGCATCCCCGGAATCCCCGGTATTCCAGGAAGCAACGTTGTGGGGCCCGCAGGTCCCCCCGGACCTCCCGGGCCGCAGGGACCACCGGGCACTCAAGGTCCAGCAGGTATATGGATGCAATGTGAGATTCGGGCCAGAGACAAACCCAGCCGAGGAGATTTTTCTCTTAGATTACAGTGTTCTCCTGCTCCGAGCCACTTTCCCACACTTGAAGGGGGCTCAAGTTGTCAAAACGAGTTAACTCATTGCCTCCACAGTGAGATCGTCAGATTCAGGATGTCAAACATTATGCAGAATAGCACTGATTTATCTTCAAACTATGTCAGTGTTTGTTTGGTTTAATCACCATTCCTCCTTTGTTTCTCTCAAGCTTCAGAATTTTCCTCACGTCTGTCTCTTATTGTTGCAGGGGTTCCCGATAAGACAAAGAAATTCCAGGTAAGGGTATGTCACCTTCTGTAACTTTAATCCATTCCATATTTAATTATTTTTTGTTGACGAACGGGCTGCCCCTGATTTTTTTATAATAGATGTAAATTAGTCACCAGAGCTCTTTGTTTTTCAGCCAGCGGTGGTTCATTTACAAGGACAAGAAGCAACCATCCAAGTGAGAGAAGGTGGGATCTGTGTTCATGCTCACTCAGAGATATACTACTGTGTTTGACGCAGAGCAATAAGCACGAATTATCCCTGTCCTGTTTGTCAAACACACAATTCTGGAGTTAGACCAACATGCATGTCTGCTGGACCTCAGCATAACAAGAAAATAAACACAGCATGGTTAGAACGATGGCATGCCCACGGCGGTTTGTGCCAGAGATCCAGTGAGCCACATTTTAGGATCTTTTGTTCTTTACACGTTGATCCTTGTGAAAAAAACAACACAAAAGCTATTACTTTTAACTCATTCACTGCCAGACGTTCCTGGTCAGCCCTTTGCTGCCAGCAATTTTCAAAATGTGGATTTAAAAAGATGACTTTCATCGTCAATGGCAGTGAATGATTTAATAAATAGTTTTTTAAAGCATGTTCATTGCGCCTTTGTTCAGTGTTTATGGCGCATGTGTTCATTACATTCGTGTTTATTATCTCATTCACTGCCAGACGTTTCCTGACCAATAAAGGCGTTTTCTGCCAGCAATTTTCAAAGTTTGGATTTAAAATGACGACTTTTGTCGTCAATGGCAGTGAATGAGTTAATTGTTTGATCAGTATTCACGGTACTATTCCGCAGGATTAAAGCAGCCCTGCAGTAATCCTGCTCCTGTTTCTGGTTCTGTTCTTGTATGAAAGTCCGAGCCATGCTGCCTGAACCCACGGGCCAAAAGCCTCGCATGCTAATCGATCCTGTTGCGTTTCTAGAAGGAGCGTAAGCATCATTAGCGGGTTTATATTTCGTCGATGCTGAGCTCTGGTTTGAGTTAAACATGCCTGAGAGCTGTTTATGTTGACCGCTTGCCTCTTTTGTGTTTGTTGTGACATGTTTAGATCTCTCTCAAGGCGTCCTAAGGAACTGGAAAATGGTGTCCATCAATAAGGACGTGTTCAGGATGAACCCTCGCACCGGGGAGCTGGTGGTGCTGCTGGACGGTGTCTACTTCATATATAGTCAGGTAGAAGTGAGTACGGTCCTTGACGTAACTCTTGAAAATAACAGTTCAAAGTCAGAAGAGCTGGCAGTTGATCTTAAAGAGCCGCTTGCTATGTTAATGTTTGAGTTATGTTACAAGATGGATTTTTTTTCCCCCCCTCTCCCGGTGGCTAAGCTCTATAACTCTTTCTCATGTCAGCTGCTCTGATTCTGCAGCTGTTAAAGCTTTAGGCAGACCTTTAAGTGATTATGCGCCCTTGTTTTGATTACCCCTCTCAGTCTCGTGTGAATTTTTTGTGCTCCCCTTTCCCCGCCAGGTGTACTACCTCAACTTCACTGACATCGCCAGCTACGACGTGATGGTGGACTCCAACCCGTTCCTGCGCTGCACTTGCAGCATCGAAACGGGCCAGCGCAAGTTCAACACCTGCTACACGGCCGGGGTGAGCCTGCTGCGCTCGGGCCAGAAGATCTCCATACGCATCGCGCACGAGTACACGCTCATCAACATGACCAACCACTCCACCTTCCTGGGAAGCGTCAGGCTCGGAGAAGCTCCATCTGCTGGACAGAACGGATAACTGCAGCGTCTCATGCTGGACTGCTGCGTTGGTTAAAAGGGGCTGCACCTCGCTCCGGTTTAGAGGACACTGAACTCTTGTCTTTGTTTTAAAAAAAGGACAATAAAGACTGTTTTGCTTCCCTTCTCTACGATTCTTCGCAGACAGACAAAGCCTCATCAAACACGTTTCTATTTATAGCTTCCCTTTTGAGTCGGCATGTCTCCTTATAACTAGGAAGGACACTGTGTTGACAGATAACCACGTTTCAAGTGCCGTTGAATGATACTCTTGTGTCCCCAAAAACTGCCAGTTGTTTTAAGATGATTTATTTTCTGTTTTATTATTTAAGCGTTTCAAAGAGGGGGTCGAAACTCCAGAAGTTAAAAAGCTAAGCAAACTGGAGTTGGAAGGTGTTCAAAGAGCAACAGCACTATATATTTTTTGCGCACATTTGCACTACAGCGTTCCTACAGTGCTATTGTTTATTTCCTTCATGAGCGAATCCATGTAGAAAAGCAAAGTTGTTAATACACGTCTGTATATATTGTATATAAAAAGGGATATACTTTTTGTAAATGGAGTTGATGGATTAAAATGTTTCATTTTTCTGTCTAAACAGCCTGGTCTTGCTGTTGAATGGTGTTCCTTTAAAGACTCAGATTTTGAACTTCATTAGCTGGGACCTTCACTGAAACAAATGGCGCTGTGTGAGCGAGAGGCCTTTTTGTCTTTATTAAAATGTGGCCTCTTATTCTGTTTTTTTTACATCGTTTCACAATACGCAGGAGAGTTGGCTGTAATTTCAGCGGTTTAAATGAGTTCCATCTTAAGAGGCAGCAAAAAAAGACAGTTCCTCATTTTAGAAGCCGCAGGTTTCCGGCACTTCCCGAGGCGCGACCTGTCTTCAGTTCTGAGCCACTCGGGAACATCCAGCCTGAGCCTTACCATGCATTTTTATTCTCATCAACAGCCTTCATGTTATGTTTAAACCTTTTCCTGATGCGCAGAATTGGTGTTTACAAAGATTTTCACAAACTGCGAGGAGACATAAATCTACAATTAAATCAGCAAATTTTCTAGGAAGTGGATGGGAGGACGGCCAAGACCTCTAGAACAAGGGAGGTATGTCAGTGATTAGGCAGGATGGAGTCATCTTGGACATCGTACTACTGAAATGTATGCCGTTAGTATTCAGATAACGCTGCAATAATAAATTATATCACAGTGCTTTGTTTTCTCTTAGGACACAAAGCCAAGTGGTTTCCAAAGAGCTCTGAGTTCCCTGAAGATCTCCTCTAGGAGAGGAAGGAGGGGAGAGTGCAGCTGCAGAGGTGGGCCTGCAACCCAAATGTGTTGATTAGTTATGCTTTAATCTGCTGGTGGGGACCATTAACAATGAATGCAAAGTTAATAGAATTAAAGTCAGATTTGTATCTCTTCCTCTGACCAGCTGCAGGTAAAAGCTAACACAAACAAGACAGGAGAGGTAAAAACGACCTTCTGATCTCTGGCTCCAGCTTTGCGCTGCGCTGCCATTATTTTGAAGGAGTGGGTTTTTCTGTTTAAATTCCCAAAGGAAATATTACAGTCATCCCCTGGACTGTTTCTGCACAGCAAGGAAAAAAGAATTTCACTGAGGAAAAACAGGATCGTTGTCCAAGAAGATGGTTATTACTTGGTGTTTGGACAAGTATTGTGTCATTCTAAATCAAGCACGACTAAGTTGATACTGCACATGATTCGTTCCAACTCTCCGGCCAGTGTTCTCTTTCAACTCAACAGGTCTTGTTTGAAAGTCTAAACGAAGTTATGGGTCATGTCGTTCAAAGCTGGAGCTCCACCAAGACCGGGAGGAGATCTATGGAGTTCCAACGGTGTCTGCGGAAGATGCCCAACCAACACCCTGGCAACACGTGCTGCAGTGCAGGCATGAGAGGGGCACAAGTGTGTCCCCCGTGGTCCTGCTCTCTCAGCAGTGACCCAAACAGTTCACTGGAAAACTAACAAACACGCTCAGAAGGGGCCAGTAGCATGTCGTACAATGATTAAATGTGTGTGGAAATTGTGTTTTAAATGTACACACTTTGAATTTGTCGCCCCTCATGTATCTCACCAAATGCTCTCTGAATGAACTGCATGAGTCACTCCATGTCAGCTCAACCAGGGGGGTCCCACATCACTTCTTTGACTTTCCTCTCCGGCGAGAGAGAAATGTGCTCCAACAAAATGCCAAGTTTTTTTAGCCATCAGGGAATTATTCATCAAATTACAATAACTTATATAGTCACTGCTCAAAAGCTACGGAAATATCCAGCATTATAGTGATTCTGGTCTGTATAATATTTACCATGTGTCTCGTGTGTGGTTTAACAGTATATTGGACCTTTTTAGGGTTATTCTTGCTATAGTTGGTGCCTAAAACCACACAGTGAACACAAAGGAGAACAAATTTAAAGATATTCGGGGGAGAAAATTATTTTAGATTTATTTGACAGTAAAAGTGGTGTATGACCCTTTTCTAGGCACTTTACTTTCACTGATGCTCATGTCCTCTTATGTTCATGTCCTCTTATGTTCATGTCCTCTTATGTTCATGTACTCTAATGCTCATGTCCTCTTATGCTCATGTCCTCTTATGTTCATGTCCTCTTATGTTCATGTCCTCTTATGTTCATGTACTCTTATGATCATGTCCTCTTATGTTCATGTCCTCTTATGATCATGTCCTCTAATGCTCATGTCCTCTTATGCTCATGTCCTCTTATGCTCATGTCCTCTTATGTTCATGTCCTCTTATGTTCATGTCCTCTAATGCTCATGTACTCTTATGATCATGTCCTCTAATGCTCATGTCTTATGTTCATGTCCTCTTATGATCATGTCCTCTAATGCTCATGTCCTCTTATGTTCATGTCCTCTAATGCTCATGTCTTATGTTCATGTCCTCTTATGCTCATGTCCTCTTATGTTCATGTCCTCTTATGCTCATGTCCTCTTATGTTCATGTCCTCTAATGCTCATGTCCTCTTATGTTCATGTCCTCTAATGCTCATGTCCTCTTATGTTCATGTCCTCTAATGCTCATGTCTTATGTTCATGTCCTCTTATGTTCATGTCCTCTTATGCTCATGTCCTCTTATGATCATGTCCTCTAATGCTCATGTCTTATGTTCATGTCCTCTTATGTTCATGTCCTCTTATGTTCATGTCCTCTTATGCTCATGTCCTCTTATGTTCATGTCCTCTTATGTTCATGTCCTCTTATGTTCATGTCCTCTTATGTTCATGTCCTCTTATGCTCATGTCCTCTTATGTTCATGTCCTCTTATGTTCATGTCCTCTTATGTTCATGTCCTCTTATGCTCATGTCCTCTTATGTTCATGTCCTCTTATGCTCTTGTCCTCTTATGTTCATGTCCTCTTATCCTCATGTCCTCTTATGTTCATGTCCTCTTATGCTCATGTCCTCTTATGTTCATGTCCTCTTATGCTCATGTCCTCTTATGTTCATGTCCTCTTATGTTCATGTCCTCTTATGTTCATGTCCTCTTATGCTCATGTCCTCTTATGTTCATGTCCTCTTATGTTCATGTCCTCTTATGTTCATGTCCTTATGTTCATGTCCTCTTATGTTCATGTCCTCTTATGCTCATGTCTTATGTTCATGTCCTCTTATGTTCATGTCCTCTTATGCTCATGTCTTATGTTCATGTCCTCTTATGCTCATGTCTTATGTTCATGTCCTCTTATGTTCATGTCCTCTTATGCTCATGTCCTCTTATGTTCATGTCCTCTTATGCTCTTGTCCTCTTATGTTCATGTCCTCTTATGCTCATGTCCTCTTATGTTCATGTCCTCTTATGCTCATGTCCTCTTATGTTCATGTCCTCTTATGCTCATGTCCTCTTATGTTCATGTCCTCTTATGCTCATGTCCTCTTATGTTCATGTCCTCTTGTGCTCATGTCTTATGTTCATGTCCTCTTATGCTCATGTCCTCTTATGTTCATGTCCTCTTATGCTCATGTCCTCTTATGCTCATGTCCTCTTATGTTCATGTCCTCTTATGCTCATGTCCTCTTATGTTCATGTCCTCTTATGCTCATGTCCTCTTATGCTCATGTCCTCTTATGTTCATGTCCTCTTATGCTCATGTCCTCTTATGATCATGTCCTTATGTCAATTTATGTTCATGTCCTCGTATGCTCATGTCCTCTTATGATCATGTCCTTATGTCCATTTATGCTCATGTCCTCTTATGCTCATGTCTTATGTTCATGTCCTCTTATGCTCATGTCCTCTTATGTTCATGTCCTCTTATGCTCATGTACTCTTATGTTCATGTCCTCTTATGCGCATGTCCTCTTATGTTCATGTCCTCTTATGCTCATGTCCTCTTATGTTCATGTCCTCTTATGTTCATGTCCTCTTATGCTCATGTCCTCTTATGTTCATGTCCTCTTATGCTCATGTCCTCTTATGCTCATGTCCTCTTATGTTCATGTCCTCTTATGCTCATGTCCTTATGTCAATTTATGCTCATGTCCTCGTATGTTAATGTCCTCTTATGCTCATGTCCTCTTATGATCATGTCCTTATGTCCATTTATGCTCATGTCCTCTTATGCTCATGTCTTATGTTCATGTCCTCTTATGCTCATGTCCTCTTATGTTCATGTCCTCTTATGCTCATGTCCTCTTATGTTCATGTCCTCTTATGCTCATGTCCTCTTATGTTCATGTCCTCTTATGCTCATGTCCTCTTATGATCATGTCCTTATGTCCATTTATGCTCATGTCCTCGTATGTTAATGTCCTCTTATGCTCATGTCCTCTTATGATCATGTCCTCTTATGCTCATGTCCTCTTATGTTCATGTCCTCTTATGCTCATGTCCTCTTATGATCATGTCCTTATGTCCATTTATGCTCATGTCCTCGTATGTTAATGTCCTCTTATGCTCATGTCCTCTTATGCTCATGTCCTCTTATGTTCATGTCCTCTTATGCTCATGTCCTCTTATGATCATGTCCTTATGTCCATTTATGCTCATGTCCACTTATGCTCAGGTCCACGTGTGCTCATGTCCTCTTATGTTCATGTCCTCTTATGCTCATGTCCTCTTATGCTCATGTCCTCTTATGTTCATGTCCTCTTATGCTCATGTCCTCTTATGTTCATGTCCTCATATGTTCATGTCCTCTTATGCTCATGTCCTTATGTCCACTTATGCTCATGTCCACTTATGCTCAGGTCCACGTGTGCTCATGTCCTCTTATGTTCATGTCCTCTTATGCTCATGTCCTCTTATGTTCATGTCCTCTTATGTTCATGTCCTCTTATGCTCATGTCCTCTTATGTTCATGTCCTCTTATGCTCATGTCCTCTTATGTTCATGTCCTCTTATGCTCATGTCCTTATGTCAATTTATGCTCATGTCCTCGTATGTTAATGTCCTCTTATGCTCATGTCCTCTTATGATCATGTCCTTATGTCCATTTATGCTCATGTCCTCTTATGCTCATGTCTTATGTTCATGTCCTCTTATGCTCATGTCCTCTTATGTTCATGTCCTCTTATGCTCATGTCCTCTTATGTTCATGTCCTCTTATGCTCAT